GCGCATTGTAGAATGGTACCCGAGAGAAAGAAAACGACCACTCGGGCGACCTCAGATGAGGTGGCAGACGTACGTGGAGGAAATAGCAGGAAATAACTGGATAAAAACCGCCAAGGACAAAACAGCCTGGCATGATTGCGCTCGGCGTGTGGGAACTATGAAGAATCCACACTGAAAGCCCGAGCGATCTTTGAATCTTTGAAACATGGTCATGTCTATTTCCAGCTAAGTATAGGAAAGAACGCTCTCCTATAGAATCTCTTCCTCTCTACCACATTTGCCAAATACCGCACTGCGTTCAACTGCACTTTCTTATGGCATGCGATCCTATACCGTGGTTGATTCCCATTATTCCCAACGTGAACAGTCTAGCGGACGAGCGCAGCATACAATTAATATGATCTATTGGAACTGTGAATAACACGATGAAAAATTGAACTCCTACTTACTGTAGGGGTAATTATACCACAACGTCAAACAAGATTGTCGTTACTCTCTCGTCCCAAAATAACTATACTGACATGACTTCAGTGAAGCGATCTCATCAGATCAGTCGTCTACCTTTCAAAGAGAGATTCAACGCTAATTGGATTTAAATCCTGGTTAATAACCCAAATCGCATCCAGGGTCATTCTTATTATTCTTTATGAACAGGAATGACGGTTGGACTATGTACAGCAGCGCTGGCTTCGACGCATGGTGAGAATTAGGTGGCAGGACCACGTAAGGAATGACTCTGATCTCTTCCGCACATGCAACCTCGGTAGATGTACAGATTAAGAAATGGATATTGGCCCTGGTTAGACAAAGTGAGGAGTATAATCCATTTTCTGCACTTCGTCTGGGAGCCGAAACACGGCAAACCTCGATAAGGAAGCCAGCGCACAGCATGGATGAACGACGTAGCGGCAGATCTGCTTTCGGAAAGAGATATTTACTTCCACAGCGTGAGTTAACCGGTGCCTCATGGCCAAAGTGTTGAAAAGCTGCGGATACAGCGGACATCTCAAACTACGGTAGTTTTGTTTATGCAAACGGCCCCAGGTGATGATCTCAGCAAGCAAACAACAGCTAAACAACTACTGAACTTCGTTGACTGACTGACTAATTAAGACTGTTATGAAATGACGCATCATTTGTTGTCATATTTTTTGCAAGGCTGAGGCAGACGTGTGTTTTTCACCTCATGTGTCACCACCTCTCTTCTTGCTAGTGTTTCTAGTGGAGGCCGATCTCCATTAAGATTAAGACCCCGCCAGAAATGAAAGGGATTATTTTTAGCTTTAGCGAGTGAACGGAACTGACGTTAGATGCTTTCAGAAAGTCACGTGATTCAGAGGTCAGTTACTTTCTAATGACGCTATATTGACGCAAACTTTACCTGAGGAGTGAGGCAACAAATGAAAGCTTTTAAACTATGGCCTGAAAGATGTGTCAGCGTCGAAACGGCACCCTTGAAGTTTTTCATCAAAGCGGCAAGCGCCTCCATTAGCGTCTTGTCTTCAACGGACTGCGAGGTTTGTTTATGACATCAAGCTTTGGCTACTGGGAGGCGACCAGCTTGCACAACTTGAGTACAACGCTTATGCTTTCGATGTGCTTTTACTGTCCAAAGAGGCTTTCGTCACGTGACTTAAATGATCGCTGAGGAGTAAACTTTCGAGAGGCAAAACACGCTGTCAAGGAAGGAACCATTACGGTTTGCTGGAAATCCGTTTTTAGTGCTTTAGTTCATATTCAATCAAAGAAACACTCTACCCCTGTTTAATTTCAGCGTTATGCGTTCTTTGTCTAAACTGTATGGATCTATTATAGCTCACTTTTCAATTACTGATTCCGGATTGGATTTACACGGCGAGTAACATAGGGAGGTGATTAATCCAGGCTATGGCATTACGGTACTCAAGCACGTGCAATGATGAGGCACAAGACTGCCGAATCTCTTCGTTTGGTCGAACAACGGCGCGTTCAAGCACCTAGAACATTTGTTTTGTTTCACATAAAGACATGGCTATCCATCGTCTCAAGAAATTGAAAGGAAAACATGAGGAAGTGATGAAAATCATAACTTTGAAACTTTGGGCGTGTGATCAGGATTTGTTTGAAGAAATTCACAGAACGACGCCTCGTCACAAAACCACATTGCACGCGGCAAACGAGAGCAGGTCGAATACCGCATTATTACAGTACATCAGTTCCAATGTTTCAATATTCCAGTACAACTGCACTTCGAAATCAGGCTCATAGATCTAGCCTGATATACAGAAGGCCAGAACAACGGGAGAAACGTACACGATTACTATCAAACGCCCGTTCTAAAAGAAAATACGGCTTCTGAGAATGGGCGGATGCACAGTCATATGAGGAAGTCTGTCAGTTCCCATTAGCCCCGACATGTTGGCATACCATATCATGGTTCATGAAAGTCTTCACCACCAGCAAGATGATCGCAGAGAATAAACTCTGCGCTACTTCAGTGAATGGCAGCCGTTGACGAAGTGGGCGGTGATTTCTATGTATTATTGCTGATTCTGAGAACTGGAGTCCTCTGTAACGACCGGAAGTCAAAAATTATTAGAGAACCATTCGGCACAGCTGATCTACAAGTGAAACAAGAGGCGAAATGCTTCAGGAGGACAGTCACTTTCAGTACCTCGACTCAATCGTCTTCAATGGTAGCACCATCCAGTAAAAGTTACAGAGGCGTTCTGTTTCATCCTCTAAGTTTTGGAAGTTTGTCCTATATTTGGGCTGAGAATAGAGGTAATCTTACTATGAGTATTCACCTATATCTTGCCTCCATCAGGTCAGTGTTGTTGCGCTTGTTGGAGACAGCTGTTCTAAGGAAATAGTAAAAATGTGGGCTGAACCGCGTATAGCAGCATTGGCTTCGAAATTAACGTTTAGCCCTACTTTGCACGATTCTTCTCCAGCACCAAGCTCTTTCACGCAGGAGGTCAAAAACTATAACTCTCTTGTCACTGTTCAAATATTCTAATTCCGCGCTAGTGCAACTACTGGATATTAAACTGAATTGACTAGCGATTTGCAGAAGACAAAAGTCGTCAAACCTGGTGTGGCTGTCTCCTTGATCTCCTGCCGATTCGGGACTTGTGAACAAGAGGTAGGAGAGCAAGAAAAGGTAGAAAAAGAGGAAAAGGACTTGGAAGAAGAAAAAGCGAAAGAAGGGGAGGAGGAATAAACAGAAGAAATAGACAATAAGATAAAAGAGAAGGAAAGGACGAAGAAGATGAAAAAGCATATCAAAATTCAATGCTAATGAGAATGCTAATTGTTTGACTTCACTGGGGGATTTGGCCTTTTTTTGCCTCTCTGATGATGAAGATAGGCTCGCTTTTGCACATTCCCGTGTTGTCTGTGTTTTAGAAGAATGATAGGTTGCTTTTCACTATCGAGGGTACTCTGACGATGCATTTCGTTGTATGCAATTAGCAATCTAATTAGTCAGTGATTTAAACGTTGCACCTGGCAGATAACCATTAAGTGTTCTAGACTAATGTTTACTCATATTAATTTGTATTTCTAATTTACATAGGTCGCACGTGACGCAGCTGGCGGTTCATCATAAGGCGGAAAACGCCGCAAACCTGTTTCGGAAACCGCTTTGCTCTGAGCTGAAAGGCCTCAGTCCCGGACAAGCGAGAATCTGCGAACTGTTCTATGACCACATGCCCCCGGTTGGCCTAGGCGTGAAACGATCGATCGAGGAATGCCAACGGATGTTCAAGGGCCGTCGTTGGAACTGCTCATCCGCATACGTGACGGAAAATTACGGACCACTGCTCACAATTGGTAAAGACTTTTACGATCCGCTTCGTTCAGACTGTGGATGTGCAGGTACACCCCTCGAGCATGCATGGGCGCTGAAATTCACAATAGAACGTTTCGAATATTTTCAAATTTGGCCTGATGCTCAGGATGTTCAGAAGCGAAATTACCACTCGCAGACACCCAGTCAGCCAGTGAGTCATGAGGCAACATATCTGGGAGTCATTCAGTAACTCATTGCCTCGTTCGTTAATTCTCTCATGGAGAAAGTTGTTCATTCATTCGTTTTTTCCTCCTTTCATTCTTCCATTAATTCCTTCATTGAATCTACCAACGATTCTGTTGTATGTGCATTTATTTCACTTATTAGTCATTCACCAACTGATTCGTTCTTTCGTTAAATGGTTAACGCTCAAAGCTCTCTATTTTCTTTTTTCTTTCATTCTTTGATTGATCGATCGTTCACCGTCGCATGCCATTAACACTTCAGCTTATAGCCATTTAACGCTGCCGCCACAGTAAAAAAATGCAAATACGCATTTTATGCTTTCTGTTACACCCTCAATCTATTTCAAGAAACTGGTTACACATCTTACTTAGAATTCGT